TAATCTAGTTTTGATCGAATTGACCAGTTTCCTATTTTTGATCGGATTGACCAGTTAGACTGAAGTAGCCTGTAATCTAGTTTTGATCGAATTGACCAGTTTCCTATTTTTGATCGAATTGACCAGTTAGACTGAAGTAGCCTGTAATCTAGTTTTGATCGAATTGACCAGTTTCCTATTTTTGATCGAATTGACCAGTTAGACTGAAGTAGCCTGTAATCTAGTTTTGATCGAATTGACCAGTTTCCTATTTTTGATCAAATTGACCAGTTAGACTGAAGTAGCCTGTAATCTAGTTTTGATCGAATTGACCAGTGAACTTGTAACTCGCTTGAGCTCCAAAAGACAAGTCCCCCGTTCTGTAAAATGCGCGTTCTTATATACCGAATTGACCGGAGCTTTTCGGTGTAGCGTACCGGTAAACTTCGTTGTTCGTGTTAACTTTTTGTGCTTTTCGTGTCTTTCTTGTGTATTTTGTGTATTGTCGTGTACTTCGTGTTATTTGCATTTTTGCGCACTTTTCTTCGCCTGACTTTTATGTTTGACATATTTCGCGTCTTTTTGATTTAATTCGGAAAGAGAATTAAAATTTAAAACCACCATAAAGTGTTAGTTTTCAATTTAATTCAATTAATTATAACTTCCATTATTTAATAAATAAAATAAAACCCCAACGATATATATATGTGCGTGATATTGTGGTAGGAGAATTAGTGCAAGTGTCTGATTGTAATTATTGTTTTGTATGGTAGTTTGTTTATGTTAAAAAAAACATATATGATTAATAATTGATATAGTGTTTATAATTTTGTGTTTTACTACATATAGTGGAAAAATAAACCAAACGAAGAATTTACGGCAGCAGTGGGTTTTTTACTGATGTGTTGTTTTTTTTTTCTATTGTAAAAATGTAAACAATGAGTGTTTGTTTTATTTCTTTAAATTCATGTTTATTCAATAAAGATATAAAGTGTGTTTTATTGTTTAATAATTGTTCAATGTATGATTATTTGTAATTCAAAATTCATGTTTTCAAGTTGTGTTTTGTTGGTTTGTTGTTATTAATTTTCTCTTTTTTTTTTTCTTCTTCTTCAGTTTTGTTTATTAGTCTTATCCGCGGCTTATTAACGCATGGATTGCAGGTAATGTTATTGTCTTACCATCTTGTTAAGTAATAAAATAAATTTTATTCTTTTCAGGTTACATGCTGATCTTGTAGGGGTGAGTTGGGTTCTTTATTTGAATAGTCCATGGTGATGGTGTTGTGTTTTAGGCTGACGGTCTGACGTCAGATTTACACAAGAATTTATGTATGGTTTGAAATTGCTTTATAGAAATTTCAGCCTTTACATTCTCTCCCCTCTTCGGAAGATTAAAATTTTGTTGTCGCATTTTATTTCACCCAAACCTTTATTACGCCTTTCCGACTGATTTTCACTTGGTACGCCTTGCCTTCGACGACACGCTGGAAATTAATTCTTTTACCTGCACCACGTTTTCTGCGGGCATCGCAAATAGCTTGGCTCACCTCTGGTGGATATTTGTCCACCAATTTTCTGACTGTATCTGCTACTGATGGTTGCGATTCGGCTGCATTCTTTAATAACTCACTGTATAACTCGTCAATCACGGGTGGTGGTGGCGATCGATTTTGTTCATCAACCACATCGTTCCATGTACACTGTAGTACATCCTGGTCATCATTATCTATTTTTACTGTTGTCGAGGCTGCTGGAGCACGTGTTGGATCTCGGTGTGATTGTGTGTCACTGTTGTTCTGGTGGGTTTTTTTACATCGCCACCCAATGGCTTTCGGCAACATTTTCCGGTCTGATGGTCTTATTGTTGGTTGTATTTGGACATCTTCCATGGTTTGCTCTTTCTTACCAGGTTGGTTTTTGCGTAGCTTGTTTTTATCTTGTTTGGCTGTTTGTTCCATGGCGATTGGTAAGTAAAGGCTGCGTGGTTTGTTCTTTACTAATTTTTTTAGTTGTTGCTGCACACGTGCGGCTGTGCGCTTAAACTTGGTTTCCAAATCATCTGCCATCTTTGATTTTTTTGATCGAACTTAGCTTATTAAAACACGCGTGGTCCTTATATACGGCTAACATCCTGATGATTTGCGCTTTTTGAACCTTTACAGCAGAGTAGCCTTTTTACTTTTTTCTTTGCTTATTATTTTGCACTCTACACCCTGAATATTTTTTTTTGTTAAATTAGCCAACTGACTGGAGACAGTTTGTTAATGGTGAAAGTCATTATTATCTTTATTACTTTAAATTATTATTGACTTATATTATTATGATTATATTATTATTATAATATTTTATTATTTTATATTTTATACGAAATGCAATAGATTTGTTTATTATATTTTTTTTTTTCAAGTGTGGGTTTTTTTTTTGTTTTTATTTTCCATAGTATATTCGGAGGTCAGCGATATGGGCTTTGATACGTATATTTCTCTTAGAATGAGGCACGATTTCTCTTTCGTTTCTTTGGACTCTTGAAAATTTTGTAGTAATCATCTTGGTTTTTGACATGATGATGGTCATCCTTTCGTTTAAATGTGCCTAGACGTCTCACGAGAGTTTCTGGTTTGTTTTCTTCGATAGGTGTAACATGTTGCGGAACTTGCTGTGGTTGTATTTCATGCGCTTGCACTTGATCTGGTATTACTCGGATTGGATGAAATACTTCTGGATTTTGTTTGATATATCTTGGACGTTGTTGTCGTTGTGCCTTTTGTATTTGAGTTTGTGATTCTTCACGATCTTGTGTGTATCGCTGTAGACTAAATACTTTCGGATTTTCTTCGATATGTTTTAAATTTCGCTGACGTTGTGCTTCTGGGATTTGGAACTCTTGTATCTCTTTGTTTGCTTTTGGATCATGCGATGGTGGTACAAGGCATTTACATGGCGCTTGCTCTTGTAAATTTTCTCGCAGTTTTACTGAATGCTTGTCTGGGTAAATCCGACATTGTGTGCTTTGTATTATACTTGGCTTGGATAGTGATGCTGTCTTTGAAGTTGCAATTTTATTTACTTCTGCTGTTGTTTGCTTATCTATCGACTGGTTATGTTGTTGGTTACTTTGCTGCTGGTTCCGGACAGGTGATACCGGGCCTAGACTATGGATATCTTCAACTAGTACTGGCGTCATGGATATGAGTCTCATTGTATTCTGTAATGGCATCGTTGGTTGATTATTTACAATACTATTTGTTGAACTATTACTGCTACTGTTATTACTGTTATTGCTGTCATTGGCTGCAACTGCTAGTGTTGAGGAATCATTAGAATTAGCTGTTTCATTCAAAATACTATTCAGATGATGTGATGGAGTTGAAGGAGTTTGTGGTTGTTGCTGTTGAGACGTAGATAGTGTCAATGGTGAGGAAACATGAGCTGGCGACATTGTTACTTGTGTAGAAGTCTGTTGTGGCTGAACTTGTGCCGTAATTCGAGTTTCGTTTACGTGGATTAGTCTTAAGTCCTTGCGGGGCCTAAATTTCGAGAGAACGGCTTCCCCACTGTTGGTCGTCCTCTTATCTCGTTTCCCGGATCTTCCTTGCAGCAGTCAAGGGTTCGTGTGTTCAGTTTTCCACAGATCCAACAAAAAAGAATTTTTGGATTTCGACAGATTCTTGCCATATGTCCCAATTTCCCACACCTTCGGCACGCATTTGGTGTGTCTTGGATTCTCTGCTCGAAAGATTGGACTAGGTGGTTTCTTTCCTCTCTTAGCCTTGGAGGTCCGGTTTTCTCTTGTTCTCCCCGTATAGCTTCGTAATCACCAGCCATGTCGATTAGTTCTCCCAATGTTTCGAAGTCTCGTCGTCGGATATAAAGCTAGTAGTCCGGATGTGCATTTCGATAAATTCGTTCTAGTTGAGCAGCGGCTCCTATATCTGCGTGTCGCATTAGAATTTGGATTGCTATAACATAGTCTTTGAATGTCTCCCGTGACCTCTGACGGCGGGCCCGGATTTCATCTTCTAACTTCTCAAAGTATCTTACCGGTAGAAAGAACTTGAGAAAGTCAGCTTTGAAAGCGGTCCATAATTTCCACTGGCTGTTATTACTTCTATACCAATTTAATGCTTTATCCTTCAAAAGTTCTGGCATGGTACGTGGTATTGTGTTAATGTTTAATCCATGGGCTTCCACCAACTCCTCGACTCGTTCGATGAACATCAGCGGGTCTTTGCCCCCGTCATATTTAACAGACCATTTCCGGACTTTTTCTATACTTTGTGTAACAGGTGGAATTGTTATTTGTACATCGTTATTTAGTTCTTGTGTGATCGGTATTGTTTTTGTATGTTTACGCGCAAGGTCCCATAGCATTTCTCTCCGGACCATGTCATAATCTTCTTCGTCGATGTATGCTGCTAGTCTTTTTCGTAATTCCTTCACGGATCCACTCGTTTCTAGTTGCATTTCGGACAAGTAGTGGATTAATTCATCCTTCCGTAAGTTGTACAACCAGGATTTGCTCGGCGTGGTGGGTCTTCGAAGTTCTTGGTCGCCAATGTCGACCCTTGTTTTATGCTCTATAGACATGATTGATTTCCTTTCGATAATCGAGTTTAATATTTACCAATGTGGTTTTGTCCTGGTATTTTTGCGATAAATGTTACAGTCCCTCTGAAACTCAGTCCCTGTGAAACTCAGTCCCATGAAACTCAGTCCCTCTGAAACTCAGTCCCTCTGAAACTCAGTCCCATGAAACTCAGTCCCTCTGAAACTCAGTCCCATGAAACTCAGTCCCTCTGAAACTCAGTCCCATGAAACTCAGTCCCTGCTCGGGCGCCAATTGTAACGACCTTTTATCGTTCGTTACGCTTTGCTGGAGTAGCAAAGCGGTTGTCCAGGTTCGTTATAATAGAATTTATATCTTCGGGACTGAATTTCTTTAGGAACCAAAATAAAAGCGTATTTTTATAATAATTTACCAATTTTATTTATTCCGATATATAAAAAAAACAATGGTTATAGACATTTAAGGAAGAAAATAGTAATTCTTGATAACTCCGACGTTCGCTTCTGATGTTTGTGTCTTCAGGGTAAATATAGGCGTGATTTTATGGAATCGTTGTACAGGCTTCCGTGGTTGCTTCTGACGTTGAGGAGGTACCTGACAGGACCGCGTTCTCTCCTGGGTTCCTTCTCTTCTTGCGGATGTTTTGTGTCAAGCAATTTGTCTGTGGGCTGAATGATCAAAATAATAATTAACGGAAAAGAGAAAATTAAATGAAATCAGTTTCCTACTTTGATCGAATTGACCAGTTAGACTGAAGTAGCCTGTAATCTAGTTTTGATCGAATTGACCAGTTTCCTATTTTGATCGAATTGACCAGTTAGACTGAAGTAGCCTGTAATCTAGTTTTGATCGAATTGACCAGTTTCCTATTTTTGATCGAATTGACCAGTTAGACTGAAGTAGCCTGTAATCTAGTTTTGATCGAATTGACCAGTTTCCTATTTTTGATCGAATTGACCAGTTAGACTGAAGTAGCCTGTAATCTAGTTTTGATCGAATTGACCAGTTTCCTATTTTTGATCGAATTGACCAGTTAGACTGAAGTAACCTGTAATCTAGTTTTGATCGAATTGACCAGTTTCCTATTTTTGATCGAATTGACCAGTTAGACTGAAGTAGCCTGTAATCTAGTTTTGATCGAATTGACCAGTTTCCTATTTTTGATCGAATTGACCAGTTAGACTGAAGTAGCCTGTAATCTAGTTTTGATCGAATTGACCAGTGAACTTGTAACTCGCTTGAGCTCCAAAAGACAAGTCCCCCGTTCTGTAAAATGCGCGTTCTTATATACCGAATTGACCGGAGCTTTTCGGTGTAGCGTACCGGTAAACTTCGTTGTTCGTGTTGACTTTTGTGCTTTTCGTGTCTTTCTTGTGTATTTTGTGTATTGTCGTGTACTTCGTGTTATTTGCATTTTTGCGCACTTTTCTTCGCCTGACTTTTATGTTTGACATATTTCGCGTCTTTTGATTTATTTCGGAAAGAGAATTAAAATTTAAAACCACCATAAAGTGTTAGTTTTCAATTTAATTCAATTAATTATAACTTCCATTATTTAATAAATAAAATAAAACCCCAACGATATATATATGTGCGTGATATTGTGGTAGGAGAATTAGTGCAAGTGTCTGATTGTAATTATTGTTTTGTATGGTAGTTTGTTTATGTTAAAAAAAACATATATGATTAATAATTGATATAGTGTTTATAATTTTGTGTTTTACTACATATAGTGGAAAAATAAACCAAACGAAGAATTTACGGCAGCAGTGGGTTTTTTACTGATGTGTTGTTTTTTTTTTTCTATTGTAAAAATGTAAACAATGAGTGTTTGTTTTATTTCTTTAAATTCATGTTTATTCAATAAAGATATAAAGTGTGTTTTATTGTTTAATAATTGTTCAATGTATGATTATTTGTAATTCAAAATTCATGTTTTCAAGTTGTGTTTTGTTGGTTTGTTGTTATTAATTTTCTCTTTTTTTTTTCTTCTTCTTCAGTTTTGTTTATTAGTCTTATCCGCGGCTTATTAACGCATGGATTGCAGGTAATGTTATTGTCTTACCATCTTGTTAAGTAATAAAATAAATTTTATTCTTTTCAGGTTACATGCTGATCTTGTAGGGGTGAGTTGGGTTCTTTATTTGAATAGTCCATGGTGATGGTGTTGTGTTTTTGGCTGACGGTCTGACGTCAGATTTACACAAGAATTTATGTATGGTTTGAAATTGCTTTATAGAAATTTCAGCCTTTACACAATTATGCATTATTTTGTATATCTTAACATTTCTCATCTTTACTTTTTTAAAAACATGTGTTTAAAAAGAAATAATAATTTTCATGTTTGATGAAAATGTGTGCCATTGCTCACAAACAGCGATTGAAAACACATGTCAACGTTACAGCATCCAGTCTTCTCCAGGTGGTTGCAATATCTAGACGGCTAAAAAGGAAAACAGTGGCAGACTTAATAGACAGCGAGTAGCAAAATAGCTTCTTTTTTTTTTTACATTAAATATTCAAATAAAATTGCTTATTAGTACTTTTTTTTTGTTATTTGTACTAGGTGCAATATTAAAACGATTTTTGTCTTTAATTGAAGAATCGTTAATAATAAAAAAAAAAAAAAAAAAAAATGTTTGATTAAATTTCCTGGGATGAAGACAAAATCAATCTCTCTGATTTATGTTGCAATGGAAAGTGTGCTTTATTTCCTTTAAAGGTTTTAGTGTGCATTTGGATCTTCATTATAGTTTTTTATAAATTAATCTTTTTATATAAGAAAATCGCTTTTTCTATTCAAATTTTCATTAATTTATTTATTCGCAATACTTGCGTAAAAAAATACAAACATCATATTTATACTTGAAACTTAGATGGCGCTGGGATGCCTGCCTTGAGCTTGCTCTGCATTTGTCGCAGTGAGGGTGGAGGTTTTTTTCAAATAATTGGATTTTTGGTAAAAAATTGACAATTTTTAAAAAATAATAGAGAAAAAACTGTGCATACGATTTTTATGATTTTAAGTTTTTTGGAAAGTAAATTTTATTGTCTTTAAAGAAAATTTAATTTTGTTTCGGTCCCCTTTTTGCATGCGAAGATATACTGATTACAGTAAAGTAAGCTAAAAAAAATGCTATTTTTTAACAATTTTTTATGATAAAATTAAAATATTTAATTGAGGTTTTAAAATTGTGTTTTGTGGTGTATTTCTGAACATTTTGCATTTTAAGTTTTTTGATTCGGATGATATTTAAGCAGTTTCGATATCGAACTTTAATGCAATTTTGCACAAAATCTGTGCATACGATGCTTTTATTGCTTTATTGGAAAGCTTGTTTTATTGCCTTTCAGATGAGTATCCGTGCAAGTCGGTCCCGTTTGTGGTTGTTTTTTAATAATTTTTTAAGTAAAATAAGTCAGTTTTTTCAAAAACTTTGATTTTTTTATTTTTTGAATATCTCAGTTATTACGCAACATACAGATATGGGGTGTATACCAAATGAAAGATAATTGAATTTTCTATCTAAATCATATTTCAAACTTGGTGAAAAAGCTTAAATTTGGCTAAATTTTACAAATTGATAAACTTAGAAAAATTTCGTGTTCCAATTCCGGCTTGGTCCCCTCAGCGTCGTTGCTATCTAGGCTCAGGTAAAATTTATAGGTTTGAAATTAAATACATAGGCATATTGAATTTTGTCTATGAAAAAAGGTTTTTATGTCCGTAAAAAATTAATAAGATGTTTAAAAATCTTGTCAAAATCTACCGAGTGTAGAAGCACGGTAAAATTTATATATCAATGCAACAAATCAAAATTCAAGAATGAAGTATAATACCCTTTTACGCTTATTTTGGTTTAACCTCCGTTCACTAAATAGTATTCTTTGGTTGCTATCTTCACAATATTTAGTCTTTGGTCTAAAGAACATATTATAATGTTGAATAAAATATCAATAACAAATAGTGTGATAAAAAGTGAGACCTTGTACATTACGACAAATTATTTAATAATTGTGCTTTTATTTTAGAATTTTTAGGCCTTCCTTGCATACATTCAGTTGGTCTTAAATATATTTCACCTCCTATAAAATATGAAAGTAATTTAAAATTGCCTAATGTATTGCATTGTATAGCTAACGTGTGTTATTTCAGGCAAAGAAAAAGTTGAACGACCAAAATTGCGTATTATGGAAAAAGTTCCACAATATCCACCGAATTTACGAGCTCCTAAAATGCAAAAGAAGTTAAATCACATGCGTGGGCCAGAAAAAGTTCATAACAAATTACTTCACCAACAATATGGAATTATTGCCACAGGTGGCGGTCGCTTGCGTTCTGGTCATTTCGAAATGCTGCGCTTAACAATCGGACGAAAAATGAATGTTAACCGCATGTTTGCAGTTTGGCGTGTTCCAGCACCTTGGCAACCCGTTACTAAAAAAGGCCAGGGGCAAAGAATGGGTGGTGGTAAAGGCTCTGTCGATCATTACGTTACACCTGTGAAAAGTGGTCGCGTGATATTAGAAATAGGAGGTCAGTGTGAAATGGCCGAAGTCAAACCTTTTCTACAACAGGTAGCAAATCAGCTACCATTTAAAGCAATGGTTGTTTCATGGGATATGATTGAAAAATCGCGTGCTGAAACTGCAAGACGTGACTGCACTCATATAAAGGATTTTTCGTTAAAATATGTGATTCAAAATAATCTTAATGGCTGCCATAAGTGGTTATCACCAGTCGATTATAAATGGTTCGGAAAATACGCGTGAGATCTTCAGAATTACGTTTAAAAATTAATGGTTAACAGCCTTTTGACATTTAAATTTCTTAAGATTGCTTTATATCACACTCAGTGCGATTTCAGTCATAACTTAAGTCTTAATGCATAAGTTACCAAATTTTATGACTGATTATAGTCTTACAAAATATATATTTTATCTTTTCAAATCCAAATGCTTTTAAGTTTAAATAAAAATAACAGAAAACTTGAAAATATATGTCTATTTACATTAGGTGATAATAAGTCATATTGTTTTATACACCTTTTCCCCATTATTTGTATAATAACCATTTTTTTTGTTGACGCAACAAATTACAAACTAATATTAAATGTACAGATACAGTAAACAAATTTTTTTTATTGAATGATAAAAATTATGTAATAAATTTGCGCAGAATTGGGGTTATAAACCAGTTAAATTGGCATCAAAACTACTTTATTACAATATAAACAAATTTTATAAAAATGTAACGGCACAAATTCACCAAAAAATGAAAAAAAATTAATTTCCAAAGTTTCGCAATGAGTTGTCAGTTCAATGGAACTGCCTTTTTTTCATCAATTCTATTAAGCATACTCTAAAACGATAGGGAAAATATTTAAAATTCTGCGCCAAAAACCACAGATTTGCAGTCATGTTATACTGAAAGACAAATAAAAAATTGTTGTTTTGTAAACTAAATTAAATGAAAATTTAAAAATTGAGTAATAGAGAGAATTGCCAACAATTTGGTGACGGTTACGAAACTGTCTGTGCATGTCACCTGGAGGTCGAATCTTAAATTTCTTTTCTGTATCTCCACCAAGGAATATTATTGAAAGACTATTAATTCTCTATAGTCGTTTCTAACAATTTTCTTAGTCAATTCAGTTCGGTAAAATTCCAGCAGCTTGTCAATTTCTGAAGCATTCAGGTAAGATAATCTTTCTGTAGGATACTGTACTTTTTTAGGATCGATATTTGTCCAGTTTTCTTGTAACCTTTTGAATAATGGAATGTTAGGATTGTTGGTAACTTGACTAATTTTAGTATCAAACACGCCTTTCAATATCAATTCGTAGATGTGATGGTGGCAAGCAAAAATAAGCATATCTCGATTAAATTTTTGTTCGAGAAGCGCACAAGCACCATTAATAGGACCAGTATTTGAACCAGTAGTATCACAACAAAGGATTTGCACTTTATATTCGAGATTCCAGTCAGTAACCGCATTCCAAACTGCCTGTGCCTGATCACTACCTGTACAGTTATCTAATTTTGGCACCGCAATAAGTAGTTCTTTATCACCATACGAAATAACAATCGGGAGACGTTCTTCTCCACATATGCGCATATCTAAAGCCGGCAACAGTTTGCCACCCCAATGGAGAGTTACAGTAACTGGTACTACGCTGTTTTCGTTTTCCTGTGCGAATTCTTTGAATGGAGGTGTTACATTCATCGTAGTTGACGTTGGCTAATGAAATGTCAAACACAATATAATATGTAAAACATGTAATATTAAATAAATAGTTAAGTATGTGAATGAAAGGTGAAGTATTCACATGTGTAATTTACTACTCTAAAAAATTGGCGACGAGAATAAGAAGAAAAACTAGTTAAATTGAAGAAACGAAACGGTGTTAATGACTGGTGATAATTACAGTGAAAGTGTCTCATTTTCAACATTAAATATGGCCGCAGCGTTCAATTTTGAGGCTTTTAATCCGGAAGTAATGACTTAGAACCGGTGGGTGAAACGGTTGGAGATTGCATTAGAACTGTTTTATTATGTTTACATTACGAACTTTAGTAAACGAACTTTGCTAAAGTTGATTCAGCATTTACATTATCGTTTCGGGTTTTCATTTTGACAGTTGCTGTTTTTGTTATCTTTTGTTTACATTTGATTTGTTTACATATTGATACTTGTGAATATTGTGTTTTACTATATATTATGACGAAAATTATGAATCAAAATATAATTACATTGTTCTGCAGTGAATCTGCACAACAAAATAAAATTCTCAATAATGATTAAATTACGTACAAATAAAACGTCGTAAAATAATTGCCAAAATATTGCAATTAATAGCGGCAAAAAAATATAGAACATTTTACAATTTCTTAGTCTAAGAAAAATTGCATATAATTAACAGAATTAAACAAACCCAGCATATAACAATTAACAATTTTGTTAAAAACTGGTATGAAGGTTTAAAATATCAAAAATGAATTTGTAAATTATTAAAGACTTTCATTAAAAATCAATTTCATTCAGAACTATTCATCACATTTTTTTATTTTGGTAATCCGAATTCGAGATTAAACACTGTAGTAATAAAAGAAAATTATTTTAATAACAAAAGTTTCTATAAATGTAATTGTTGTTATATTTCCTTTTTTGTATGCAACTTTCTTTATATAGGTATAGAAAGTTTCTTTCTACTGAACACTTATTAAATATCAACTTATTGTAATGTTATGTTTATCTATTTAAAGTCTGTTTTATAGAAAACAATAAAATAATTAATAAAGAAATTCCCCTTAATGAGTATGTTTGATAAATAATTTTTTTTAATTAGTTTAAACAAATATATAGGCTTTTGTATAAACTGAATATTCAAAGATGTATTCAAAGGTATTCAAAGATGTTCTGCAACTAACTGCATTTGGTATAATGAATAATTTTATTAAGGTTGTTTTATACTAAAAAATATAGTTTTCGATTCATTTCAAATATTTCTTTTTCCAAATCGACAAAAGGATAAAAATCACAACATATGCAAATAAGTTATTTTTATTTAGGATTGTAAGGAATTATTAAGTTTTCGGAGAATTTCTTTATATTTTCTGCACCTTGCACTTCTTTCTCAAGTAATGGCAATTTGGTGACATTAAAATCATGAATTTATATAAATCAGCAATTTGTTCTAATTATTTTTCTTACATCTGAAAATAAAATTATTTTATGTATATAAAAAAAGAGATATGTATAATGATATGAGATAAAGCGCCTTATATCTTGAAGAGCACATGCTACATGGTTGTTGATTTTTCTTTATAAATAATAGTTGGTTTACAATAATATTGTGTGTCGATGCCACATTTTGTTACAAATGTAAACAAACAAAAGTGTAAACAAAACAAAATGTCATTTCGCCATTTTCATACTAAAAACTTATCGATAACGCATTAAATTCAGCATTGTATTCAGGAAAAGGTATTAAATGAAGCCAACTTTCGGTCAAAGTCCGAGTTTTGTTGTGCCTATTTTTATATGGCAAAATCGACTTTATTTGCTGGTTTTGCGCTCAAAGTCGATTCCAGCCAGCAAAGTTCGTAATGTAAACATAGTATTTGGATGTGATGTTGCAAAGAAGCATCAATTCTTATTGCATTATTAGGTGCATCAAAATACAATGTGCTATGTGACAAATTGTTGCCAAAAACACCAGAGGAAAATACATATAAACAAATCGTTCAGATTTTAGATGAACATTTTAATCCAACGCCAAATGAAATTTTGAAAAACTACTGTTTTCATTTGCGAAAACAAAAAGCAGAAGAAACGTGTGAAAAATTTCTGTTGGAACTGAGTAAATTGGCAGTGCATTGCAATTTCGGAATGTATTTAGACACTGTATTGCGAAATCAAATTTGGTTTAAATAACCAAAGAATACAAAGCAGGTTATTGGAAAGAAAAACAGTAAACTTGGAAGACGCAGTTAAGATAGCAACGGCATACGAAGGAGCGGGAAAGGGTGGAATGGAATTACATCGAACCGTACATCAAAGTTCTGCAGAAATGGTAAATAAAATACATGGTATTAAACGAAGAGGTTTAAAAAAGAGTAACCAAAATTTGCAACCGTCACTTAACGTAAAAAAAGCTAAGAAAAAATGCTACAGATGTGGCAGTCCTACACATTTGGCAAAAGAATGTAAGCATAGAGATACGATTTGTCATTTTTGCAAAATAAAAGGCCATTTACGAAAAGTGTATATGAAAGAATGTTAATCAAATCACTTTCGAAGTTGTTAAGGAAGTAGAGAGAAGCATCGAAGAACTTTTGCATATTGATATGTCACATAATAATGAAAAACCATGTGGAGAAATAGCGAAAATAGAAAAAGATAAAAAAGAAGCACGATACTGAATGTTTAACGTAAATGAAATACCAATTAAATTTGAGTTGGACACTGGAGCACCGGTGTCGGTAATGAGTTTAGAAGATGCCAAGAAATATTTTAGTAAGTTGAAGCTCAAAAAGAGTGATTTGCAACTTTATAGCTTTTATAGCTTCCACAGCTGGATTGTATTAGATATATAGAGGTGAGTGTTACATATGTAAATACAACAAACACTCTTAATCTGTATAATATTCGTACTCAACACAAACCACTGTGTGGCCGCGAATGGATTAAAATGCTAAAAGTTAACTTGCAACAAGGAATATCTACGAAGGTGGTCATTAAACAAATTACCGATATGAAGTCTAACTACTTACAGATATGGAAAGAAAAATTTCCAAACTTATTTTTATCTACATTGGGCAAAATTAGTGGTCATCAAGCACGGCTGTACGTCAAACCAAATTGTGTGCCGACATTCCTGAAACCAACACGTGTGGCGTTTTCGTTATAGGAGGCAGTTGAACGTGAATTGGAGGACATGGTACAACAAGGCGTGTTCGAAAAAGTTGACCATAGTGAAAGGGCTACACCGTTGGTGGTAGTACCAAAAAGGAACGACACAGTGCGCTTATGTGGCGATTATAAAGTAACATTGAATCCAGGTTTGGTGATAGATGAGCATTCATTGCCAACAATCGATGAATTGTTTAGTTCGATGAGCGTTGGAGACAAATTTTCAAAACTTGACTTATCAAAAGTTTACTTGTAATTGGAAATCCATCCGGATGATCGACACTTGCTTACACTAAATACTCATAAGAAACTTTATCAACCTACACGACTGATGTTTGGTGTTGCTTGCGCGCCAGCCAAATGGCAACGATTCATGGATAGGCTAGTCAACGATATACCGGGTGTCTCAGTGTTTCTTAATGATATCAAAGTAACAGCACCAGATGATGACACGCATTTGAAGCGACTAGAAGAAGTCATGCGAAGACTTAACGTACATAACATGTGAGTGAATTGGGATAAATCGGAATTTTTGGAGGATAGAATACAATATTGTGGTTAAATTATTGATCGTAATGGAATCCGTAAAATGGACAGCAAAATAAAAGCTGTTCAAGAAATTAAAAAACCAAAGAGTAAGGACGAAATATGTTCATTTTTGGGGTTAGTAAATTATTATGGAAGATTTATACAAAATTTATGTAAGATCGTATATCCATTAAATCGGTTGCTCCACAAGAATGCGAAATTTAATTTTGATGAACAATGTGAAAAAGCATTTATAGAAGTAAAAAAACAAATTCAATCGGACCTTGTTTCAACACATTACAATCCCAATTGGCCAGTCGTACTAGCAGTGGACGCAAGCCCGATTGGTGTAGGAACGGTACTAAGCCATATCTGTATAGATAGAGCAGAGCGTCCAATACAATTCGCATCGCAAACCTTAAATAAAGTTCAGCAGCGTTATAGTCAATATGATCGAGAAGCATATGCTATTGTGTTTGAAGTACGTCGTTTTTATCAATATTTATTTGGGCGAAAATTTATATTAGTTACAGATAATAAGGCAATTTCACAAATATTTGCACCGGACAAAGGTTTACCGACATTATCAGCTACGCGTATGCAGCATCACGCTATTTTTTTGGAATCGTTTAATTTCGAAATAAAATTGAAGAAATCGACAGATATCGCCAACGCAGATGCATTGTCAAGGTTACCCAGTCCAGAAACATTCGAAAATATTGAAGAAATTGATGTTATCGAGTTGGAAACTATTGGAAGCTTACCTGTAATGGTGAACGAATTAAAGAGAGCCACGGAAGAAGAGAAAGAGCTGAAAAATCTCTTACATTGTTTGAAGTATGGACGTGAATGTGCCATAAAAACAATTTGGTGTACCGCAAGTTGAATTTTCGTTACAAGAAGGTTGTTTATTGCAAGGTGGTCGAGTGCACATTCCAATGAAATTAAGACAACGAGTACTAGAAGAACTTCATACTGCTCATTTCGGAATAGCTAAAATGAAGGCGTTAGCTCGTGCTTATTGCTGGTGGGCGCGGATGGATGTCGGTATTGATCGATTTGTGTAAAACTGTGCGGCATGTAAACGTACAAGGGCTGAAGTAAAAAAAGTGGAACCGGTGCATTGCTGGTTGCGACCAAGAAAAGTATTTGAGCGCGTGCATGTGGATTTCGCTGGGCCAATTTGCGGAAAATATGTTTTTATATTGGTAGATGTGTATAGCAAATGGCCTGAATTGCATATCATTCTAAACATTACAACAGAAACTACGATATTAGTGTGCCGTAAAATCTTTGCAACGTTTGGAATCCAGATCATGGAACGCAATTTAACTCTAAAATGTTTCAACAGTTTTAAAAAAGCAATATTATAATACATAAACAAGGTGCTCCTTATCATCCGTCTACTAACGAGCAATCAGAGCGATTTGTGCAAACGGTAAAAGCGAAACTTAAAGCTGCAAACTCTGCAGCAACAAGTATACAAGATGATATATCCAAAATATTAATGGCTTATCGACGAGCCATTTATCCTGCAACTGATAAATCTCCGGCTATGCTTATGTTTGGTCGACAAATTCAAACACGATTAGAATTGTTGTTACTAGAAAATAAAATCAAGGAAATCGAGCGAACAATTCCATCTAAAATATTTAGCAATGGTGAATGAGTGGCTGCACGCGATTATTTGTCAATAAATAAATGCCGTTTTGGTAGGATCTTGAGATCAGTAGGTGATTTACATTATGACGTTCAACTGGACGATAATCGAGTGTGGAAGAGGCATACAGATCAATTGCGAAGAGTTGGAAGCAACTTGCCAAATTCAACACAAACTGTGTTGGTGGGGGAAAAAAGGGTAACTCAAGTCAAACCGAATACAACACGAGACTGATGTTACTGACACTAACGCCGATTCTTTCGATTCCGATTTCGAACGAGACTGAAGTGCAAGTAACTCCGATTCCTTCGATATCGATTCCAACCCTGGATTCTATGTTACTTTATATCATTGTATTTTACCCAGGAAAATATACTTGTAAAATAGGGTGAGATAAATGTTACAGCCATCGTAGTTGACGTTGGCTAATAAAATGTCAAATACAATATTAAATGTAAAACATGTAATATTAAATAAATAGTTGAGTATGTGAATGAAAGGTGAAGTATTCACATGTCTAATTTACTACTCTAATAGGAGGACTTGCTTATAGGAAATTCGTCAGTATTGTATCCAAGTGCCTCAATAGTAACTTCAATAATAAATACAGAATTTCTCATACTTAACTGACACCTATCTAAAGCTGCCACTAACTTTGGAGTGATAAAATTTTTCCTCATAGAAGTTTTTTTAGTATCCCCATATACCCAATTTTTTTACCCATGCCCAGTTTGGATGGGTAAATTTTCTTGTAGATCCATTATTTCAGAATCAGAAGATACATTTTCTTGATAAGATGACGTCGAAGGAGTTAAGGATAATCAATAATTAGCACGACGTTTTTGTTCCTCAATGTTTCTAAGACGCGCTTTTTCCTCTTTTTTGTCCAATTTTTTGTCCACTCCAGCTAAGTGACCAGGTCGAGCTGGCTCTCTCTGGCGCTGCAAGAAGATTTTGTCTTCATTTATCTTTATTCTTTTTATGACGAAAGAAACTATTTAAAAGTTAGACTAAGTTTTTTTGTTTTTGGTGAAACTACGCGCGAATAGTGATCGTTCCGCAACTTCTATTGTTTTTAATCTGAAAAGCTAAATTTCAAAGTTATAAACACTTGATCCATTGATCATAAATAAAAAAAATTTATCAAAACGGTGCCCGATTTTAAAAGGTGAAGTTTAGTTTTGTGAATTTTGTCCAAACAAATTATACACGGACTATAAACTAATTAAATAAAATTCGATTAAAAATTTTTTATTCTAAAAAATTAAACTTTAATTTGCAAATTAAACAAAGGCAAAAAAACAAAAATAAAATTTATTTGCTCAACAGCTGATAGAGACTGCATATGGTTTTCTTGACGAAAGTAAGAAATCGCAAATGTGGCGTTGCCACAGTGTAAGTTATAAGTACATTTAAAAACTTAAATAAAAATAAATTTTTATTTATTTATAAATCTAAAAATTTTAAATAACTAAATAAACGAACTGTAAATATATTGCGACACTCTTATATTTTGTTCAATGCTTTCAATTATTTATAATTGTTTTCGTAATTTTGGTTTACTTCGTGAAAACTGTGCGCTACAGGATAACTACAACATTTAAACAACCAGACATTTTTCAAATCGGTCATCGACATAAACTTTATTTTAGGCTTTGAACTATGATTAGCGAATAGCTCAGCCTAAAAGGATGCAAGATGCCATGAAGAATATTCCATCCCCTTCATGTAGAAATGAAAGGCCTTTGGATCAGACTCAAGATAACATGCTAAATGAGAAAAAATAAATCTATTAGAAATCAGTTGTGAAAGCCTTAAAAAAGAAAATCAAAAACTAAAGGTAGAAAAGAATAGTACACTATCACAAAAGAAAGAAGCTGATAAGAATGCTGTTGATGCAAAATTAGATAGCACGAGTGTTCAGTACCACACTTATGAAGAGGAATTGGCGTTAGAAACTGACTGGATATTGAAACAAAAACGTCCGAATAAAAAACGAAAAGCTGAATCTTCTCCAGAGCTTAATGTTTCATATGATAAAAATACAAATCCCAATCCGAAATCGGAAATTCTATTAAATACTAAAGGCCCAAAAGTGCATTCGCCCCCTCCAATAATGATATCAGGAGTTACTGATTATATAAAGATTTACGAAGATATTAAAAACACTATGAAAACTGATTTTTCATTCAAGCTTATGAATAATGGGAAGTATAAGCTCAATACCAGGGAAGCAGATGACTACAGAAGCATAACAAAGCTGCTGTCTAATGCTAAGATAGATTGGTACTCATATGAAGATAAACAAACAAGACCTATTCG